TNGGGGGACATAAAAACCAAAACCCCGAATACAATATATAGAATGATAAAATGATAAATCATGGATTAAGATTGTGCTTTCTACTTTTCCAGTTTTTCCTTTTCCAAATTGAAATTAGCAAAATAGAAAYTTTATTTCAATATATGGGACTTAAAAGATAAGGAAAACTATAATTAGTTTTTAACTAAAATAATAAATTACATCCAAATTACTGTCATAATAAGCAAAAAGTAAAACTCAAAAGTTATAAGTCTAACAACTAAAGGCTAAGGGCCTATCTATTAGTAGCTTAATAAACTTAATGGAACTAACAGTTTATTCGCTCAACTATGCATGACAGTTTTGTAGTGGCTTAATGATATAGAAAAAGACTTATCCAGTAAGCTTCTAGGGTGAGCTTTATATAGAAAACCAAAGTTTTTTTTCCAAACATGTCCCTTCCAACTAAAAAACGCTCCTTACATCTGCGAAAAAACTCTCCCAAACAAAAACTTTTCCAACTTATACAAATAGATTAATTCATACAGACAACTTTATCGATATAGAACTTAATAAAAAACCAATCAAATGGCCTCTAAGTATAATGTCGTAATGTCAAACCTCAAAGTAAATAAAAGTGAAAAGAACAATAATAAATTGTAAAATTCATAACCTATGTTACTGTGAATTGCAAAGAACAAGTGTCAGTCATTCGAGATTTATATCTTTGATTTCTTGAATCTAATTTCATGACCGTTAATCGGTTGGAAAGAGAACTCGATGCCTTGAAAATCGAAATAGTCGAACTTTGAAGAACAATAGAAATTAGATTGAGTTGTTGGAATGATGACGTTAACTGGTTCACGATGTACATTCAGTATTCATCACTACTAGGCATTGGACATGTTTTTATAGTTAAAACTCAGTTATCCAATTCCCAAATTATTAAACTCAAAACTAGTAATAGATGACAACTTAATGCCCCTTTAGGCTTTGATGCCCTGTACGACCGCATGAACTACACGTGACCAGGGTCGGCCCTATATATGATGTATACCATTTTCACAACAAAAAAATTTATTAAAAAGGTGAAATAATTATTCCAATTTCCAGAGTTATATCATTTAATTTTTATGGGCCTTAGATTTTAGTAGTAATTTGGCCAAGGTCATGACTTGAGAATTTTGATATTTATGTGTTGGAATGGATTTTTATTTAAAAAAATGGGGTACTCCCAAGATATAAATAAATTCATTTACGGAGTTTTTCTTTTAATTTAGTGTTACAKAATAATACATTTCATCTGYTTGAATTTTATATAAKGTACCCGGTTCAACATTCGGGTAACATATCAAGTAATATTWCCCGGTTCCTTTCGATTGTAATGATGTAGGCGGACATGGAAATTAACACCTATCAGACACCTTAACATATCTTAACATGAAAATGTTTAACCTTTAAGTCCTTAACATATCTTAACTGACATCAATAAACCTTAACAAACATGAATATAACTTAACATGAAAATCCTAGCATGCAATTTTAAAGTTATCATGTTAAGGTATTCGTTACGGTGCCTAGATGTGGAAACCCGAGAGAGGAGATTGCCCTGTCTTCCCAAAAACATAGCACATTCCTTGACGTTCGATCAAACATCTATAGAAGGTGATCGGCGACCATGGATGGGTTCTCACGTTCTCATGGTAAGGGGAATTCTCACTGAAAGCCCAACCATATATATAACGGTTGGTTTTGGTAAGAACAACTCATTTTTTCTAATAATGTGATAATTGAATAAGTGACGATATTAATATATTGTGTGAAAGTTACAACATTTATACAATATGATGAAATATTTCAGTACACAATTGAAGGTGACGTGAAAGTTATAGTTTTCGAAAAACATAATGTAACGTTACAATATATAAAGATATTTTCAGTTGTTGACACCTTCTCATGAAATGAACAGATGGTGGATTTGATGAAATGTATTACTGATCTATGTAAACGTTTGGGTTATAGATGAATTCGAGCATAGTCAAGATTTGATCATGTTGTGCGTTGAGTTTTGAGCTTTTAAGTAGCCAGATTTAGGTCTATCTCTATGATTTCGACCCAGTAGTTACATAACATAACAATCTATAATATGCACTTTTTAGCCTAGGTAGAACTACAGCATTATCCGGCTTCAATTGAATTACATATGTTCGCCAATAGTTGTTAAAGATCAACTATGTGTGAGTTTATTAACTTCAAGATACGATCAGATGGACATTTAGGGGCCGTTTACCAAACGCTTACCCAGGTAAGCGCTTAGCAAGTCACATTATCTTACCGGATGAATATACCAAGAATCTTATCCGGTGAGAGGGTGACAAGGACCGAGAGTCTTACCCGGTAAGTGAGGACGACGACTCTTACCATGGTAAGCGCTTACTCTATAAATTGTTGCATACAATGCTGTTTTGGTGGATTAAAGTCTTACCCAGTAAGTAAGTGGCAGTGTTAAATTTTAGCGGTAAACGCTTACTGGGTAAGTGTTTAGTAAACGGCCCCTTAATCTTGTTTTGCTACAATGTGCAAGACAAGTTTATATATGTCACATGAACTTTGACTATTGGGGGATGAATTCATATATATGACAATAGTACCCTTGTTTTGGGAACAAGATCGACATCGGAGGCCATCTTCTCCTACTTTAAATAAATTATTTAACTTGCGATTTTAAAGGTGTTACTGTAGTGACGGTCCCATGACAACACTTAAAAGGGTCATCATTGTGAATTTATGTGTGCATTATTGGACGTTGTCGTTAGAAAATGAAAATGTTATAATAACATATCAAAGCTTAAATTTGAGTTCTAATCTTTAACAACGGTGGAACACAAAAACCCTGATGGTAAATTCTTGAAATTTGGATTTAATTTTTAGTGTTTTGTAAATATAATTAATTTTTATATTACAATAATCATTTTATGCCAACACTAAAAGTAGTTTTTAGATCCACCTCTCTTAGTACACATGATACAATCATCATAACGTACTTCACGTGGTGATATTGAATACCWTTTTTGATCAATCTCGTAGTCTCACCTGAAGTTTAGATGGAGATCAAGGACTCGAATCACAAGAAATAGGAATGTATGTGAGTTTTGTCCTACATAAATATAATATATACTTTAAAAGAAAAAATTGGGTTGGTATGTCGAAAAAATAATTGTAATCACCTTCATAATAATTATGTCGACCTTTGGGGTGAAATAAGTTAACATATGACCATAATGCAAGGGTAGTAAAACCAATAGATTTACTGTGATCAGATTTTATTATTTTCAACTCGATTTATAAGAGTTCATGAGTTGGCTTATTGAGTTGTTTGGTCGGTGAAGCTATGCTAAATCAGGTCATATGATTCTCCAAGCTAAACTCAAGTATGGGGTAACTTTGGTGTGCTAGTTCATCGAGTCAAGTTTACACAAAACATTGGGCTTACACCTAATATGTAGTATCGCATCTTGCTCAAAAGACTGACTCTATCTGGAGAAATGTATTTTAATCCATACGATTAACTTTTCCTCGTGTCAAACCGCAACTTTACGGGCCTTTAATGCATCTTAAAAGTGAATCTGCAACTCCCTTGCTAGAAGTACGATTGAAAGGCAAGGTAAAGCGGTAGCAAGCAAAGGGTTTCATAGATCCTTCGCCGGAGGAATTGCTATTCTAGAAAGTAAGTCAAGTAAGAAGGAAGGCAACATTAGCTTTCTTTTAAACAACAGCTTTTGGCCTTTATCTTGATTGTGACTTGACAAAATCCCGGTACACCGCTGGCAACATCAACACTTAGAAACCTTGTAGGGTTAGTTCAACCCACAACAAGATTTGAGCTTTTAGGATGCGTTTGGCATGCTGACTATATGGGACAGGACGGAACAAAAAAAATAGTCTCATGTTTAGCATGTCATGGACAAAAAAAAAACATGGGACAAAATGAGACTATTTTTAATTTTAATGGGACAAATCTTGATATTTCTTGTTTCACTAAAAAGGTGGAACAACATGGGACTAAAGTCAAAATGACAATACTTTGGTTGATTTGTTGTCATTTTACAATCATTATATGATATAAAGTAACATTGAACAACATTTAGGGGTAATATGATCATTTTAATAGTTTTGTCATATCCTGTCCTAGTCGTACCAAACATAGGACAGATAATTAGTCTTGTCCCGTTCTGTCTCGTACTGTCCCGTCCTGTTCCATCCAGTCTGCATATCAAGCACTACCTTAGGGATTTTCCTTAGAAGTCACCGGTTCGAGTACTACAAGGGCACCGAGGACTTCCCTTACTTTTATCCAAGGTTCTAAGATCAGGCGAGATACATGCAAGTTGGCTCAGACACCCACCCACTGTTAAAAAACATCAACGTTGCATTTTCTATATTTCAAAAGACAAGGTAACATGTAAACTTTGGTCTCCTTTATTATAATTGATGGTCGGTCGTTTTAGAAAATGACACAAGTTGTTTTAAGGAGTTCCCGAGTCTTGAGAAACTGTTATTTCTTTTTTAGCACTAATTAAATACGAGGGACGTTCATAAATTGGTGATCACCAAAAACACGTAACACGTTTTTTTGGATTGTTGAATGCTAGATGAACACATTTTTTTGATAAAAAAACGTTTTTTTTATGAAAAAACGTGTTCTAGGATTATGGGCAGAAGATAAAGAACAGATCTACAGAGTTTATGATTACCATAAATATAACTTGCTGTTGTATATTAATTGGGCCTTTCTGGAGCTACATGTTCATGTAATTGTGTTTAAATACGTTTTTCAACTAACAAAAACACATGAATCATATGACTTAAAACACTAAGGATTGGCTATTGGCTATTGCCTATTGCCTATTGCTATGGCCACCAATCTTCTTGCCAAAAACCCAAGTATTTTGCAGAAATGAATAGAGTCAGAGAATTTCATAACAAGCAGTTGATTCGGGGGAATATCAATGCCTGAATTACAAGCAAACTTTGGAATTGATTCTCAGGGAATTTATTGTCATAGCTTTCAACCATTCACGAAAAACAACAAAAATGAGAACCTCGATGAACAAATTATCAAATTCAATTGACAATTCCAGTTTTTCGACGGAGAAATAGGTGTAATTTCAGTATGTTCTACAAAAAAGGGGAAATGAACAGAGGCCATAAGCTGAAACCCTTACATTTTTGTCGGCATCGTCATCGTAACCAATTGAATAATCAAACGGCCAGTATCTTGAGAAATCCTTCGAACGTCACACCCTCGGTATCACCGTCTACGCCTCCCAATCTAATCATCGCTTTGATTTCATCATCGTTGACTTCAAATCCGGCCGAAAGGAGATAACTCCTAAGGTCTCCGTACCCTACTTTTCCGTCACCGTCTCCGTCCATAGCCTTAAACACATCCTCCATCACGCCGCCGCTGCCATTGTTGTTACTCCTCAAGACCTTCTCGAACTCATCGTATTCGACGTAACCGTTCTGGTTCGCATCGGCTACCGTCATCATCGTCCCGATAACGTCATCATCAGCATCTGCATAAGACGTCTTGAGATCTTCACGGCTGATCTTTCCGTCACGATCGACGTCAAGAACCTCAAATGCGGAGCGTAGGTCGGAGATATTTCTGGCCGGCCATAGAGAAGTTCCGGTGGGACACATAGTTTGTGTGTGTGGAAACAAAGAGAAGGGTTTTTGTGATTTAAAATAAGAAACGCGCTCGTTGATTTTTTCTTTTTCCGGAAATAATGGAAATACGCTAAATATTTATAGGCGGGATTATTGGAATCTGCTACTTCCGGTCGTGGAACGGCAAATTGTTTTTTTCTTTTTCTTTATTATTATTTTAAATATGATTAAGGGTTGTTTGGTAGTTGTTGGATGATTTGGTGCAAAATGATTAAGTGGTTAGTGTAATATTCGAGTTATAAGTTTCGAATTAAGATTTTGGAATTTATAAATATATATATATATAGGATTGTGTGAGTGAGAGGTGTTAGCCGACTTTTGTTAAAAAGTGGCCATATACTTGCTATAAATAGCAAGTGTATGTAAAAAGAGAAGGGGTTGGTTTTTAGAAGATTTTTTGTAAATTTTGAAAGAGTAAATCACAGGCTCAAATCCGTTCATCAATTTTAAGGTGAGTGTATACTGCTTTAAAGTATTGGTTATTACTTCTTTTACTGCTAGAATCTGCTATTTATGAACTGCATTTCATAAACATTTGGTTAAGTCTTTAAACCGGACAAGGAGTATCTGGAGTTCTCCTTAAATCGGACAAAGGGTGACCGGATATTCCCTAAACCGGACAGGTATTGATCGGAGTTATACCTAAACCGCTCAAGAGGCAACCGAATTCGCCTTAAACCGTTTAAGAGGCAATCGGATTTCCCTTAAACCGGTCATGAGTTGTCCGGACTTGGCTAAATCGCTCAAATAATGTCCGGATTATTCTCTTTTTATTCTAAGTGGTTGTCCGGATTAGATTTCCAGACAATGATGACCGGATTCTTTGTCCGGCTAAATTTAATTAAAGTTGTGTAACCACAAGAGAGATGAAATGGCGGTGTAACCACGAGAGAGATGTAATGGCGGTGTAACCGCGAGAGAGATGAAATGGCCGTGTAACCGCGAGAGAGATG